TCTGAAAGATACATATGCCGGCGCACTCACACAGATACGCGGCCATGTGTTAATGGTCGACTGTGAAGTGTGTGTGTGTGCGTACAAACGCGATTTCATTCGCTCGCCAAGCGTCGAAGCGGAAAAAATAAAGCGAATAAAATATAAAAATGGAAACAACAAAAACGGGCCAACAAACACTGAGGCACACACACACTCACACACACACTGGTGAAACATAATGGCGCTGGCTGTACACCCCACTCTTTCCCCCCTCTACAACACCACCCCCTCCTCTTACCATTGCCATTCCTCTTAACCCTTTTGGCACGCACGCCCATGTAAACTGAGCGCGGCGGGCAGACGAAAAATTTCGCGTAAACAATAAAAAATACAAAAAACAAAACCGGTTAAAAAAAAAAGAAAAGAAACAAAAAACAATAAAGGAGAGAGGAATCAGAGGAAAGAGGAAGAAAACGCAACGGTTAAACAGCAATAGTTGGGCTGGGTTCTATGTACGTCTGGGTCTGGAGTTTTTTACTGGGAGTTCGAGGAGTCCAAGTCGCACTTCTCGACGTCTGGAGGAGCTTGGGTCGCCGGGGTGGATTCACTGCGTCTAGCTTCGATTGCAGGCGGCAATAATTAAAAACTGCATTATTTTATTGCCTTGGCCAGCCCGCGAGTCCGCCTGTCTTTTGGCCTTTTCGTCTCTTGGCTGACTGACTGACTGACGGACTGCCTGTCTGGACGGCAAAGACCTCACTTTATTGGATCCGAACGGAGGGTTTCGCGGGGGCAGAGAGGCTTGTTACAGTCGCCTGCCCGAAATATATCTCTATTTTATGACTGGGTGTCGCCACATAAAGAAAGTCTCCTAAGACCGCACTTTCCACCATTGTTAATAAGGGAATGTTTCTAAGCACAATTGTTTGCCTGTAATGGGGTCCCTCAATTTGAACAATAAACTACTATTGTGGTGGGAAACTATCCTGACACATAAAGTAAATAATTATAAAATACATATTCAAGCAATTGTTTTTTACTTTTCAAAAAAATATAATAATTAAATTATTATCACTACCTATTTATCATGTTCAAGAAAACCAGCTGGTTGATTTAATTTACTGAAATTCCCCAAAAGAAAAGACTTCGTTTAGGAATCGATAATAATTACGTATTGATTTCAGTTGCAATTTGTTTGGCTTCAATATACACAAATTCCAGGGGTTTTCAGGTGTGAAGTGAAGAAGACAGCCAAACATTAAACAAGGATGTTTTAAGTGCTAAATTAAAATTGTTGTTTGCCAGTTTGGTTATTCAATTTGTTGATGCTCACGCGATTCTCTCCTTGGTCATTTGGCACGCCCATTTTTGTTTGTATTTAGCAAAAGGGAGAGCGATATAGAGTAAAAGAGTGAAAGAGAGACGCGACTTTTTATTAGCGTGATGATAAATACACTTTTTATCCACTTCAATACACACATCCCCATCGCAGATCGTGCCCTCGCATATTCACATTTTGTTTTGCGATTCGCAATTCGTATTTCTTGCTGCTTTTCGCAATCGGCAGCTGTACTGGAAAAATCCAATTAACAGTTTTATTAGCTATGGTTGGCAAAATAATTCATAAATTCATTAAAAACAATACGAAAAGCGCAAACTGTAATAGTACCAATAATAATCATATTTTTTACGACCTCTTTCTGCTGTTATTGCGCTGTTGATTTTCTTGTTGTTTTCTTGTTTTTGTTTTTTATTTTTATTTTGTGTTTTTGACATTTGTCGCCGTGCATTTTTGTGTGCCGTAAACTGCATTTGTTGGAAATTAAATTTTCCTATATATCCGAATGACGTGACAAATCCCCCCTTTTGGGCAGTTTCAAGTTCGCGTCCCCAAGAACTGAAACTAAAAGCACAACAAATTTCGTTTGTCATTGCGGTTGAAAGCGCCACCAGAAAAAAAAAACAAATGGAAAGGGAAAGAGTCAGGGACGTGTCATCCCCCAAAGGCCCCCACTAGATACTTAATCAAATATTTCCCCTGCTATACGGTTATGCAAGAAGAATAACGAATAAGAGCCGGGGGAAAGAGGCGAAGAGCCCCCAGAAAGAATTTAATAAAAATCGTTGCCTGTCAGCGTACAAGAAGCCAAACAAATTATAACAGGTGCCGCTGCCCGTCCAACCCAAATGGACATGGACAGTGGCGGAGGGAGGGGGATCGGCAAGGGGGTGAGGGAGAAGGGTAAGGAAGGGAGTGTAAGTGGCCCAATCTGGCTTGCTTTCCAATCAGTCAAGTGTGAAACAGTTAACCCATTTCGAAGGCAGGTAAACGATTTCGTAAGACAAAATACAAAGCAGCAAAAATTTATAAAATTTATTCATTTTTATAGAACCTATTTTCTATTTATTATAAAGGTAAGCTTCTTAAACCAATATAATATATTTTATAACCTCAACGATTAAGATTAAGAGGAATTGCATATGTTATACCATTATTCCTATTAAGTACCCGAAACCTTTAAGTTTATGGATAAAGTAATTTCAAAAAAATTATTATGCGAATGCTTACCACCATGAAATAAAATTTTCTTTTTAAGTCCCATAATTAAAGTTATAACTTTTCCCCAACTTTCAGGCCGCCACATAAAAAGCGGTCGTAAATAAATATGGAAAAGCTGCTCAAATCAAGCCAAAGTGTGAATCAGTGCAAACACCACCACCAGTCGGGCCGTTAACCACCACAGAGATTTCGGGGGGTTTCCCCAACCCGACACCCATGTGATTTAATGTGGGAACTCAGCCCGGAGCACGTGCAGAGTGCAGAGTGGTCTGGTCAGAACAGAAGATACCCCAGCGAAGAATCAAAAGCCAGCGAGCGATTTTCAATTGTTTCAAGTCATGTTCGCGGGCTTGATTTAATTTAAAAACGATTCAAAAATTACAGACAGCAATTCGGCAATAATTTTAAACTCTGAGTTTAACCCATGTAATTAAAGCGCCGATTGGATGACGATGCTGGGCATTGGGCATCGGGCATCGGGCATGAACCATTGGGCACGATTCGGTCTCGGTCCGGACTTGGTTTCATTCGAGAATTTATGACTTTTTGACAGCCCACATTATTGTTTAATCGTGACTTTTGAGTCGAAAATCCGAACGAGTGGCCGCAGGATTTGATTTGAATAGAACCACGGATCGGATGTGCGAATGACACCAGCATATACTATATGCGGTCGATAAGATGGTGTGTGGGTTCGCAGTGGGGTTAATTAAACAGCACCCACATGCGGACATTCAATTGTGAACCTCACTTCCCTCCGCCTTCGCGATAAAACCCTTCAATTAACACCAGCCAAGAAGGGAATAAATACATCGCGGTTTGATCTGTGAGATGACGAATGGATCCGAGATTCAGACATCTGTTTGCACAGCCAGCCGTCTTGGCCCGGCTATCAGAGAGAAGCTGATGGCACTGCTGGCTGGCCAAAAGCGAGGCTATTAAAAATTATGTAAATAGCCGGCCGGCCAGTGAGTGTATAAAGTCTGGCTCATTGTTGATCGAGCCGGCAATGTCTATTAACAATAATAAAAATGAAAGAAAACAAAGGGGCAGAAACAAAAAACTAACAAGAGTTTTATTGAATTGAAGAAGCTGCATACCTGAAAGCGAATGGCCGAAAGGCCTGAAAGGCAATAAAGCCCATTTAATATTCATTTAAGGTACTAACAAATAATGCAAATATTTGAACAATCTATTTACATATGAACGCCATCAAAGAGCTTGAATTGAAAAAGATCTTTCAATCGACGGAAATTGTGAACGAGATCCCACCACTCTCGGCCATCTAGGGTCCCCGAAACAGATGAATCTATTTGTATTTATGAGTATGTTATGCACTTAGCTCGATCAACGTGTGAGTATCTCGGTGAGTGTGTCTGTATAATAACCGTCTTGTATGCGACCATTTAGCATGTCACCTTTTAACGGCTCTCCGGCAAACAGAAACGCCAAAAAATCATCTCCCCCATTTCGTATTCCCTTTCTCTCCCAGCCTCGATTGAATCAACATATTTTTTTAACATTATAATTACGTTTTGAATCATCTGCAAACAATGTGAGTCAAATTGCAGAAATTGGTTTTGGTTTCGAGCAGGCAAAATAAAACAAAAACTCAAGTATAAGTTGCTACCCAAACAAGAGATCATGATGGCATAAAAAGTTGTTGTTGACGAAGGCACAAACTTTTCCTCCTCGTGCCGTCGGCAAAACATTGTTTTTTTCAATATATATTTCTCGACGCACCTGTTTGGAGATCTTTTCCTACATAATACCCCACCTCCCCATCAGTTGTCATTCTTTTTTCTATTCACCTCAAGATTAAATAATATTTTTCGCGTGGCAAATGGATATTGATGCATTAGTTACTCAAATTACCAGATGGCGAAGTAGAAAACAAATCAAATTCTATATATAATGGATAGATGAAAGGTTGAATACATTATTAATTTGTACGCTTGACAAATATCATTTGGTGAAATGCATACCTTGGAACAAATTTTAGAATTAAGATAGAAAACTATATATTTTTGACTTTCTTAAGACTTCTTTTATATTTCATTAAGGTTAAATGTGTTATCTCAATACTTTACCAATAATTAGTGTACAATTTTAATTATTTTCAGTTTTTCCTGTAGGATGTAAATTTCTCTCTCGAGTACAATTATATCAATTATTTATATTGCTTGGGTTTATGTTTAATCGGTTCGAAACTTGCTATAGCTTTTTAATCATCATGCGGCTTGTCATGAAAATTGATTGAGGTATAGAGTTAAACTATCGAGACATATTTTTTTCCTTATTAATGTGTATATAAATCGTTTTATTAGCATCTAATAATCAATCTAGGTATAATAGTAACTTGTATAAAATTTATGGCTAGTCAATCAATATTACAGTTGAAAGATTTTTATAACAAGAAATAGTGATTAGTTGAATAGTATTTCTTATTGATTCTTACCAAATCGTCTCCCAGATCAGAATCGCGTTCAATATTGCTGGTTGAACGACCGCTACAGTCCATAGTAGGGTGCACTCGCAGTTGCATTGAAGCGGAGTGGTTTGCTCTTCTAGAATGTCACTAATATTTCAAATATTCCGGTTGTTAGGCGATCGATGATCACCCGCGCAATAATCCTTTAGTTATTTAATTGGCACAGCACACTTTTGTTGTGTTTTTAGCTTCTATACGGCAATACTTTTGGGGCCAGCATTTGGTTTTTGGTTTTTGTACGCGCGAACCGTTATGATCGTTGTTTCCCTTCACACTCTTGTTGGCAAAATGGAGAGCGCGCTTAAGAACCGTTCACTTGGATTTTATGCCTTTCTGTTTGTTTAGCTGCAAATATGCAATTATTTGCGGTTGTTTAATGTAACTTGCTTTATCTCAGGGTTTTTATATTTTTCACTTGAATCTGTAATCAGAGTTTTTATTTCCACATTCACACACACAGAACACGATTGTTATTAGATCCACTTGGTAACGTTACTTAATTAAAAATTATGTGTCCATTTGAAAAGCCGTTATCCGAACGCACGACCGACGCTCACGGAACTCCAATTGGGCATAGAGGCTCGTCTCGTCCACACCGAAGTCCAAAATCGATCTGAATCGCGAACAAGAAACTATATACTGCATATGCTCTGTTCGCAGCGCTGCCCACCTTTGCTGAGAGCCATCCAATTGGGAATGGAACGGAATGAAAACCTCTCTCAGCTCTTCAAAGCGATTCTCCACAACGAAGATAATACACCCTTACGAATACAAGACGTACTGATGTTCAATAAAACTAGTAGTACTACGTGAATATAGAAGTCTAGTACGAATACAGTGTTGCTCAGAGATCGCTCAATAAAGCAATACAACCATGTTTTTGTCAACAAAAATAGTTATAGGCCAGAAAACTTATTAAGTCCTAATACTCCTTAGAAGGGTATATAAACACAATGATATCGCTATCTCCCTTCCACAAGATATCTCCTCTCTCACGGTTTCTCTGAAGGAACGGTGGAAATGTGGGGTGGCCATTTGCCACTCGTTCCCCAAACTCGTTCGCTCTCTTCAATCGCTCAGGCATCAGCCAATCGGATTGTCGTTCCACCAATTCCCAATTGGAATATAGGTGCGGGGGAGGTGGTCAATTAAATTAAAATTGTAATCGCAATCTATGCAATGCCTGATTCGTGAGTGTGTGAGAGTGTCCACAATATGCCGTCTGCCCATTCGCTCGTTTCGATAAACACACATACTCACTCACGTGTTGCAAAGGTGTGCTTATTTATCCGTAGAATACGGAGCGGTGGTCATGTTTACACTGTTGTACAAGGTTGAAAACTTGGCGTTAATTTTTATCTCAACTCACATATCCACTCGATAAATTGTCTTTTGAAAGCTGTTTATAATATGTAATAATAAACCATTACAATCTATCGACAGCTGAATTTTTTCAAATAAAATACATAATCAATTTAGGTTTAATGTGGATATAACCCTATATATACTGTTCACTTCTCACGGCTTAATATTTTTTAGTTGGCTTTTGTAGTATAGTGTTTAGTTCAATACCCATGTATTGGTTCATTCGCGTATTTTTCAATCATGTTTTATACGCGGTTCAATTGAACAGCAACGCCCTTTTCATTTGTCGAATCGCCGTGTGTGAGTTTTGTTTATTTTCCCAATCAAAAGGGGAGGGGCCACGACTATGTAGTTCGTGGCTTGCCAAATTTTTCGTTGATAAATACACAAAAACAATTGCTAAATAGGGGGGTGGGAGGAGGTGGAGAGGGTTGAGGAGTGTGAGGGAAAAACAAACGGTAGGTTGATTAATGATTTGCGAGATAAATTGCACTTGTAATGGCCGAGGCGGTAGATAGATGGATGGATAGATTGTTGCTGTTACCCATCCAACAGACATCCACCCACCCATCCTGATAGTAAATAATTTCCGTTTCTCGATTTTCACTAATTTGAAATTGATGAAAGGCAGCGACGTCGACAGCGGCAGAAGAGAAAGAAAAAGCGGAGGAAGTCGATCCGCGCACATTCAAAAAAATATTGCTTAAAAATCCTGAACCTCTTAAACAAAATACATGTTATTCTGATATAAATTTTGAAATATTGTTAATAATTGAAAGACTAAAGCTTGTTTAAAGATAAGGTTGCGATCGTTCACGGATGATATATTCTTTTGAACTTATTATTTTAATAAAACTCTTGCTCAACATTTTGGTGTTTTTTTTTTTGTTTTCTAAGTTACAAAATTTTAAAAATGAAATCCAACGTAGATTTCTATGTTTTTTCGCTGTGCATCAGAGTATATCAATTTTCCCCGAGTTGTCTGCGAAACAAACAAGCGGCGAACGCTGTGGCATGTATCTCTGTATCTGTATCTGTATCTGTATCTGGGTATCTGTAGGGAGGCTACCCTACCACGAACACCCCCTGGCATCCGCCCAGAAGAGAAACGCCAATGACGAGGCGTCGTCCGACCCACCGACTTGACTGATGATGAAGTGAGAAAGTAATTAAATACAATTTTAAATGTGACTAATGAGACAACGTCAAATTCGTGGGGCAAAGTGGTCGGAGTTGGGAGGTTGGGTGCGATCTAAGGGAAGTTGGGTTTAAAATGTCATATGCATTAAATACGAATTTAATGACTGTTTCCATAACACCTGAATTTTGTTACCTACAAAAAAAAAAACCAAACTTTGCACGAATTTGTCATTATTAACTTTCCATTTTTGCCCTAAACCCTATTTGATTTTCTAACAACGTACTGTAAGTGAAATTTGTGTTTAATTCATGGATACACATATTGGCAAATATTTGAGAGGGGAACATCGTTTATTTGTCAACACGTCCATTTCCTGCATTTTGTGTTTTAGCCGAAAAAAAGACGCTGGCTGGAAGAGGAGGAAGAAATGGGGGAAGACAAAAAATGAAATACGTACTCGCAACAATTTCAAAATAAATAAATGAGATAGAGAAACCGCCGCACGGAGCCGAAACACACACAAAAAAGCCGAGAGATATATGGATATTAGTTGAAGTTGTTATTGTCCAACACATCCGTCGGCGCTCGAAGCTTTTAGGCCTCATTAGTTGATGAGTATTAAGTGATTTGGGAATTACACATTTGACATAAATATTTTCTCCGTTCCTCTAGTTTTTTATCTTTTCGTGTGTGTGAACTTCACAGAAAGCCCAGCCACGATATTTAAGGAACTCGATACGCTGACTAAGTGTTGCGGCTGGATCAATAGCCGGAATGGAGAACTATACTCGTATAATAATATTGACTTGGTTACTTACAAACGACACTCGAAAATCTCTGGGAAAAACCTTTTATTTCATAGGAAATATACTAAGAGTTAGGGGATCAAAAAAGTTGTGTTTGAATATTTAAAAATATTAAGAGTGTTGGTTATCATTAATAATTATCTGCCTCTATTCGTTACATTTAAATCATTAAGTATTTGAAAACTGAAAGACAGTTAATGGCTAATTAATTGATTGCATAAATTAATTCCCGCTGCGAATGTAGATCATCCAATTTTAGCTGCACACCTCGAAACCTCTGCCCGGGCAGATAAAAAATGCGAATATAATTATATATAATTTACCAGCAATTTACAGTTTCAACACAGGGTGAGGGGTCAGCAGATCAATTAATTAAACGCCATTTAGGCGATCATTAATCCAGGGAATGCAATTTGTCAATCCACAGCCCATCGATGTGTGAGAAAGCGATTTTCTGCTGTTGAACCAACAATCGTTACCTGTCCGTCCTCTTCCTCTAGCCCTTGGGCTCAGACTCAGACTCAGTCAGGGCTAGAAAAAGAGATAGAGACAGAGATAGAGATGGGGAGAACGAGTCGGGGTTAAAGCCAAATTGATTGACCATATCAACATCCAACGATCGTCGCGGGCTGAATATGAATGAACCGGCGAGCGGGGCGATAATTGATGATACTTAGCTATATTGTCGATCCGATGGGATCGGATCGTAGCTTCACACACTCTTGTGGAGCATTTTTAGCTAGGGGGCCGGCTAGCAAGTCCGGTTCCATTAATAATTTGGCCAAAGCTCGCAGCGGATGGAAGTGGAAATCCACAAATAGACAGTTAGAAGTAATCGGCGAAAAGCGAGACACCGAAATATTCATTCATAAACTGCAGCTAACTGTCAGGAGCTTGTCACTGACGGGGGGAAGAGTGTCTCCATTATGTCTCGCTGGCATCATTAACTCGGCCACATACTCATCATATTTATTTCGATATTTTTTTCCCTATTCCGGGGCACGATTTTTAATGAAGTCGGCGGCGGTGGAGCCTGGGAGCGGGAGCAGAGTAGAGCGTTTTAAAAATAGAATATCAATTTGGGCAAAAAGCATAACGGATGCCGCTGTCAATATTTTGACAGTTCTCGCTGCCTAACGCGAACCACCGAAATGCCACCCCAGCCACCACCAACTTATTCCCGGAACGGTACTCATCCGAATGGTTACATCAAAAAACTTTAATTGAATTTCGCTCTGGAGCGACTGACTGCAACTCATCAAGAAATGGGAACGAATAAATGGATTTCTGGACGAAAGGCCAAAGAAAAATGATTAATATGCGCTAATGTTTTATAACTCTGCCCTTTTAATATTCGTCCTGCCCCGAGTGGGGAAACAATAAACCCAACAACTGAAGTCGATGACGATGCCTCCGACATTCGTTATTTGGCATCGGCATCCAACATCGAGACTTACCTCAGGCCCGCAACCTCAGACATCGCATTAAAAATGCCAAAAGCGATAAAAGAATGAACTGTATTGCCTTTTGTCTGCTGTACAAATACCATCCGCTCTCGCACATGGGGATATATAGTATATGCATTCAGATCTGGTTCCGAGCGACTCTGGCCTACACATCAACTGTTTGACTGATCTCGATCTTAACTGCTAATGACTTTAATCGTTAATCTCTGACATAAAAGATTTGATTGAAGCGGATCTGGGCTGAAATGCAATAAATTATAGAGACATGTATTCCCACATATGTCGGCATACATATGCACAAATCTTTGGCGGTTAATTTGGAACAGCACACAATAAACCAAATTGGATTATGGGGAATCATTCCGTTTTGTTTTTGTATTTTTCGCTCTCTGGGAATTTTTTTTTGCAAATATTTCTTGACTTGACTTATGCTCCTGAGAATTTGAAGGATTGAAGTCATTAAAGATACCCATATTTTAATGCATTGAAGGAGCAAATTTAATTATATTTGAAGTATAAATATTAATTCAAAATTCCATTAATATTCGTAAGAATTTTTACCTGCAATCAAGTAGTCAAAGCCATAAAAGAACAATTTCATTATCGCATACCCAAAACAGAAGACATTGGCGATTATAAAACCATATAACCACGTATACAATGCTCACATGACATCAATGATGACATTGAATTGTTTTTGGTTCATTTAACATTGCTACCACCGAGCATATTTAGTGCCTGGGCTTTTATCGGGCTGGCAAGAGGCAAATGACAATATAAATATAATGAGAATAATAATGCCCGTTCACTTGCGGGGCTTCTGTGCAGTGGCCAAGTATC